AAAAGTGGACAATACATAATAGTCATCCTAATTATATCTTTCTTCAGGCAGAACAGAAAAATTGCATTCTGTATTCAAGGAATGTTCAAAACCCTCCAGATCAGAGCTAGTCTCCCATCCCGCAACTGGACATACCTTTCTAATGCTGCCTGTACTTGTCTGGTGGAGAACCTACAATTTGCAATTTCAAGTCTGTTTGTTTTATGCTTAGCCAACCTTTACCTCTCTGTGCACTTTGTCTCCTCTCCTCAACAGGGAAAGTTGCTCCACAGCAGACCATTTCCAGGACAGACTGTCTAATTCACCTTGGCATTCTCTACGGTGCCTTGCACAGAGTAGATGCTGGCAAGAGAATAATACTAATAACATTTTTAATGTCGGCTTCCATAGTTGAAGATATTGTTTGCATTCTGCTGCCGAACATTTAAGATCTTCTAGAAAGACCTTAGAGTTTCTAAAACTTAACCTTTTCTTCCAGTTTTCTGATATTCAGAACTCAGCTGTGTCTTTACACTGTATTTGATGGTTTAATTGATATATGTTTTATCTTCTATTCAAATATAATAGTGTTTTGGTTAAATAGTTATCTTAAAAATACAACTTCAGGAATCCATTTTACTCTCAACCCACCTTCTCTTATGATAAAAGAAAGATTAAATTTTTGCTGAAGGCAGCGTACAAATGTATTGAATGTTGATGTGATTTCAGAGCTTAGAGAATAATAAAAGAAAATTATCAACTGAATAGTACTCCACCATGGGAAAGCAATTGTAATTCATACATTTAAACAAGAAAAAACTATTTTGGGAAGAAGGAAAAAGAGTATAAATTTTGGGGCTTTAGAACCAACCAGCTTCTTGAGATGCTAAAAATAGTTTACCTTTTGAAATTACTTTTTGGGGGGAAATTCTTTGGTTTCATACACAGAAAAAGATGGGTAGGTTAGGTTTCTCCTGTATCAAAAACAAATAAATGTATTTTCTCCCGGCCCTGTAGTTCTTATACTGTCTTTTTCACAGCCAAGTTTTTTTTTTTTTTAAGTAATCTATTCTTTTTTTTTTTTTGAGTTAGAGTCTCACTCTGTTGACCAGGCTGAAGTGCAGTGGCACAGCGTTGACTTGCTGGGCTCGCACAGTCTTTCAGCCTCAGCCTTCCAAGTAGCCAGCTAATTTATTGATTTATTGTAGAGATGAGGTCTCGCCAAGTTGCCCGGGCTGATCTCAAACCCGCAGGCTCAGGCAATACACTTGCCTCAGCCTCCCAAATTACTGGGATTACAGGCTGAGCCACCAAGCCCAGCCAAGTCATCTGTTCCTAAGGACTCTGTCTCCTATTTTTCTCTTCAATGATTGCAATATTTTGACTTTTGACCCTTAACTTTTCAGGGTTACCAGTAACCTCCTGATCTGATAGACTCTTTTCAGCCCTTGTTTTTACTTTTGACAGCTTTAAAAAGCATTTGTTAGTGTTGGTCATGGCCCTCCTCTTCTTTCTTGTTTGATACCATTCACCATTTTCATGCCTGAAGAGCCAGACACCTGGGAATCATCTTTGCCTCCTCCCTTCCTTTCCCTCTCTCAGTCCTCATGGTAGTCATTAAGTCCTATTACTTTGACTTCCTTGTGTCTGTATTCATTCTACTACCACTGCCTTAGTCCCAGCCTGGATAAGTTCTTATCCAGTCTGTTGATGTTTTTCTTATTTGTCTGACTTTATTCTCACTGCACTCCATCTATTCCGTTTTCTATTTGTTACCCATAATCTTTCTCACATATAAGTTTAATTATGTCTGTCCACCTTAATCAGTTCCATCATTGTCAAAATAAAGATCAAACTCCTTAACATGACACTTCAAGAATGTTGTAATTTAGTGCTTATTCATAAAGCCTGTGTCTCTTTGCATACAATTTTCATATCAGTTTACCAAATTATTTGTAATTACTGAAAATGCCAGACATTCTTGACACCTGAATGTCCTTGGATTTTTATGGAACGACCTTCCTCTCCCTAATCCCAATTTATCCTTTAAGACCTGTTCAAACATCACCTTCTTCTTTTTTTTTTTTGAGTTGGAGTCTCATTCTGTCGCCCAGACTGGAGTACAATGGCCGCTCCCGGCCACCGCAGCCTCAACCTGCTGGGCTCCAGCGATTCTTCCACCTCAGACTTCCAAGTAGCCGGAATTACAGGCGTGCGCTACCACGCCCAGCTGATTTTTTGATTTATTGTGGAGATGAGGTCTCGCTGCCCAGGCGGGTCTCGAACCCGCGGGCTCAGGCAATCTATTCATCTCAACCTCCCAAAGGCACGGGATTACAGGCTGAGCCGCCGAGCCCGGCCAAACATCACCTTCTTTTAGAAGGCTTTCCTGATAGCTACTCTTACTGGGCAGTTGGTGTCATTTCTGTGTACACCCCCCCAAAAATTGTGTTTAGTCTTCATCTTATCATTTTTTTCTTCTGTCTTCCTGTCTATATTATTAACTCCTTGAGGTCAAAACTGTGTTGTATTTCTAATTTTTATTTCTGCATAAGGAAGGAGAGGGAAGGAAGAAAAAGGGGAAAGGAAAAAGGAAAAAATGTGGGAAATGAATGAATGAACTGGATAGTATATAAAATTGCTAGATATTTTAGCCTTGCTTTTTATTACCTTCATTTTAAATGGGCAAACAATAACTACCTCCTTATCTGTATTAGTCTGTCCTACAAAGAAGGTGGCTAATGGTGTGAGTGGTAAAGACTTAAAATTACTAAAAGTAACCCAGAAGATAAATTGCCATATTTATTTGCTCTCCTAAAGAAAGGGTTGTGCTTAATCTGTTATTTGCTAATTGCTTTAAATGCTAACTAAAATGCTAAGCCAATATGTCCTTTTAGAAAACCATTCAGATATTAAGTAGACTATTTTAGCTATCTCTGTAGTCCTTCAAATTCTCAAACTTCTCTAAAGACAATGCATAAATCTAGTTGTAGTTCACTTGTAGACTTCCTCCTTACTCAACATCATTCAGTTTCCACGCTGTTTCAAGAAAAATTCTATTAAAGAAAAAAATCTCTTTCATGAAAGATTCATATGATAATGCTTTGGTAATATTGTTATAGTGCATTTTTACAGTTATAATCCAAGATGTACTCTTATCCATGCAACAGTTGTTTGGAGATCAAATATCATACCTATTTAACTGATGAGTGTTTGCTTTATAGCTTTGAAGACTCAAAGTGAACTGAAGTACATCTCAGTTCGTCTTAGTTTTTTGTTCTGTACTCACATATTTCAACTATTTGAATGAATACTTTAACTATTCTTTTCTGCCTCAGACATTTCAACCAGTTTTTTCAAAGGAAAACCACAAAAACTCATCAAACTTTGAAACCAACAATCAATAGACCTGCAGGAAAATAGGCTGGAGGAAAGGGGTGGGAGTAATTTAAAATTATTTATCAAGAGGCTAGTCATCTGTTCTTTTCTTGTATTCTGAATGCAGAACAATACTTTTTATTAGAGCAAAATAGTATAGCTTGTCAAATTTATTATAATGAAATTTTTCTTACAAAGTGAATATGTCACAATTGAAGCTAAATGATATAAAACTCAAAAGGCTTTTAAAAATATATATTCTAAGCCTGTTTGTTGTCCAGCATACTTCATTTATGCACGCACTTCAGTGTAGCAAAAGCACTCTAAAAGAAATTGAAAATAGGCTGGGCACAGTGGCTCACACCTGTAATCCTGGCACTTTAGGAGGCCAAGGCAAAAGGATTGCTTGAGCCCAGAAGTTCAAGATCAGGCTAGGCAACATAGTGAGACTTCATCTCTACTAAAATAAAAAATAAAAAAAAAATTTGCCAGGCATGGTGGCACGCACCTGTAGTCCCAGCTACTTGGGAGCTGAGGTAGAAGGATCACCTGAGCCCGGGAGGTTGAGGTTGCAGTGAGCCCTGATCATGCCACTGCACTCCAGCCTGAATGACAGAGTGAGACCCCAACTCAAAAAAAAAAGTAACCATACCTGAACAGACCCTTAAAAAAAAAAAAAGAAAGAAATTGAAAAATAAATGTGTGGGACATCATAATGTACAACTGTGGTTTTTTGTTTTTTTTTTTTTTTAATATTCTTTCTTGTTCGACTCCTGTATGTAATTGACAGACTAGAACCACCTGCTAGGAACATTCCTGCCAGCTTAATCCATGTCTAACTACTAAGATGGTTCTTTAGAAACTTTAGTTTTACAGGGAAAGCAGACGAAGTGGGAGGGAAAAAAGGATTCTTTCTTGACAGTTTATGTTGAAAAGGCCAGACATATTTTTTTAACTTCAGAAATTCAACCAGTATTTCTGGTTATATTTTATTGGTCAGTTACCTGGAGTAAATAATATATAATAATGCTATGTAAGCTATTTCTTTGTTACTATTCACAAATCCAGATTATATAAGGCACTGTGGCAGTCAAATTAGTGTACCTTCAGATACTCAGATCAAGTTAATCCAAGGAAAAGCAGGTATTTTCTTAGCCTTTAAGCATACCTAGATTACCCACTTGAAATAGCAAAAATCCAAGACTGGACTTTCCTTTTGGGGAGAAGTAGGTCAGAATGAAGTAACAGAAATGATTAACTATAATAGTGAAAAATTTAACAAGCAGCTGCTTCTTGTATCAATATGAAGGGTATGTCTCATGTCAGCATTATTCAGCTTTTAAGAGAAAGAAATATTGCTAATGTTTCTTTTTAATGATTAGCATTTTTATGGCTTGTGATTTCTAAACATTTTTTATTTAATGCCATCTTTTGTTCTGGACTTCTAGTTACTCACTGAGATATTCACTGACTACTGAAGAAGCTTCTCAGATTTAAACCATGTTTGTTCTTTGAAAGTGAACCTTCAGCTTTCTGACTCCCAAATATTAGTACTGTGTAATGAAATAAAAAATTCACTCATTACTGAATTCTTTTCTGTCCATTTTGAATCTGGCATTTCACTCAATTTTCTTTATTTGCAGAGCTTCCCTATGGCTGGGAGAAAATAGAGGACCCTCAGTATGGGACATACTATGTTGAGTAAGTTTGTTACCTCAGTTAATGTTCCCCCAAATGTTTTCCTTTCAGCATACAGCATTAGGGAATATTGGATACAGCAATTTATATGCTTCTGTGAACCAGTTTTTGAAGTTTTTCAACTAGGAGAATGAGAAGGTAGGGGCAGTGAGCATTTACTTCACTGACCTGGGGCTTCCCAGAAGTTAGCTTTGAATTTCTAAATATAGAGAATAAGAAGGAAGTTGCCTAAGGACTAATAGCTGGAGATGCTATTGTTACTACTACAGCCTCTAAAGAGAAATGCAGTAGATAGAAAACTGAAATGAGGGCACTGGACTAGATGGATTATTGAGGTCACTTCCAGCACTACCACTGTGTGCTTCTGAAAGCAGTAAAAGGACTTTAGGTACATTGTAACATAATGAGTCAAAGTTTTGAAGTATACAATTAAAGGCGTACTTTCCTTTAGGGAGTTAATCAAGGAAAACTGAGTATTCTTTTGGAGGTGAAAGTTGCTTCTTATGCAGCTTATTATGGTTAAATTTAAACATATATTAGAGAGAGGAGCACCAGAAACCTGTCAATGTTAGCCAGAGAAATTAGGCTAATGTTAACATCTAATTTTTCTTTCCCTTTTCTTTCTTTATCTAATTGCTACATTGTTACCACCGTTGGGATGACTTTCTTTTTTTCTTTTTTCTTTTTTTTTTTTGAGTTGGAGTCTCACTCTGTCGCCCAGACTGGAGTGCAGTGGCCACTCCCGACCACCACAGCCTCGACCTGCTGGGCTCCGGCGATCCTTCCGCCTCAGCCTTCCAAGTAACTGGAATTACAGGCATGCGCTACCACGCCCGGCTGATTTTTTGATTTATTGTAGAGATGAGGTCTCGCTGCCCAGGCGGGTCTCAAACCCGCGGGCTCAGGCAGTCCACTCACCTCAGCCTCCCAAAGGCGCGGGATTACAGGCTGAGCCACTGAGCCCGGCTGGGATGACTTTCTTTCTAGATGTTACAGATTGAATTTTGACTTCAGATGTCTAGCACTAGGCAAATAATTATATCAGAAACATTAGTATTTACTTGGAAACTAAGGGTCTGAACCTACTGCTGTCTAGATAGCAAAGGCAAAATGATATTATTACCTGGAGAAATAGTAAGCATGATAATCTTCTAATGTTATGGTTGCTTATTAATTTTTAATCACTTGTAGGCATAAATCAATGCCATTTCCTGGTAATTATTGCTAAAGTAAGTATTGCTGATTCTTGCAACTGTAGTCTTTTTTTCTAATGTGTAGGTCGTTACTTGAATCTCTGTGGTTCGAGAGGTTTTTGGAATGACTTCTTAAAATCTTAAAATCAAATGTGTACCCCAAGGAAGTGACTCATTTAGATTGACTCTTAGATATATAACTTCAGAGTTTCAATATTTTGGTTCCTTTGAAAGGTATGCTAATTCTATTTCCAGTGTATTTATATCCTACTGATACTGTGATATGAAAAGTATGCAGCAGCTCTTTTGTTATTTTTTTTCCTGAGGCATATTTAGTTAAACTAAAGAAAGATACAACCCTTTTTCAAGTCAAAGGAATATTTGGAGGCCAACTGCAGAGGTTTTGTGGGATTCTTCTCTTCTCCTCAAAGTTTAATCTGTTTAAATTGGGCTTCAACCAACTCTTATTTGCCATTGACACTGCCAAACATTTCTGAGATAATAATTCTCATTCTCTTTATTGTCCATTCCAAGTGAATTTGAATACATGATCAAAAGGTGAAAGTCATTTGCCTGCTATAAAATCTTGAACTGAGTGGTCTGGTTCCTGTGATGCAAGGATATGATATTAAAGCAACTTTAGGGCAAATCCCAAAGTCACCTGTTCCCAGTTGTCAGGAAGGAGCGAGAAATGGCCTGAATTAGAAGCAACAGCAGCAGCAGCAACATTATTTTGTACAATTTTTCTCAAAACGAGTTCATTTTACAGGAGGATTATGTATTAGATTAAGAAAGAGCAGACTGTGCTCAAGATGCACATTAGTACGGAGTCAGCTGAGCTATGGAGTGTGGCTTGATTCCCAGATTAGTTAGATTTTGAATCTCAACCATAGTAATCTTCAGTGAGTTTGCTGATGGAGATAAAAAGCTGTTACTTGAATGGCTACTCTTTGGCTCTCTTAGTTTGTCAAACCAGATGGCGCAATGATTGCTCTTGGCAGGAGACTTGTAGTAGTAACACCAACTGCAATAGCAGTTTTTCTTTGTATTTGTTTTAGAAGATGGGATTCTGAAATGGATTAATTTACTTTTGAAAATAAAATGGTTCCAAAAATTTAATGACATGACTTCTGTAATTATGCATATATATTTAGAAATGTTGTCTTGATTGAATTGCTTTAAATGTCTTTTTAAATTGGTATATCATAATTATACATATTTGGGGGTATACAGCGATGTTTTGCTGTATAAAGTATAGTGATCAGATCAGTATAATTTGCAGTAAATGTCTTGACACGCTTAGGTGACAAAATCAAAATATACATCTGCTTTTGTATCTCAAAACTCTTTATGAAAGAATAATTATTTTGTTTGTTGAGATACATTTTAAAATTCAGGTATTAGAAATAAAATTTTAATAATTATGCCAAATTATACAGTATATATTTAAACATTCTTGTTTGCTACCTTTGCTAATTTTCCTGATAATCTGTAATATTCTCCTCTCTTACTTTCCATAGCTAGTTATATAGAGAACAAAATCTGTTACATCTTAATAATAGGTAATAAGTAATGAAATGAAAAGGAGAGTATTTTTACTTTTTTGATTGTGTTTGTTTGGTTGGTTGTTCTTTTTGGAGTGGCATTTTAATCTAGATAGTCTAAGGTAACAGATGCATTTATTTCCTTTACTAAATCTTAATATCTTGTTGTCAAAGAATTTTCAGGAGAGGGTTTACTCATTTGTATACTTCTACTCTCTTCTCCCACACATTACAAAAGGTATAAATACAAATTACTACTTTTTATTTTATCTAATGCTTGGGTGACGAAGTGAGTCATTCTGATGACATTAAAGTGAGCCAAGGTACTGTCTAAACAGGCTCATTCTTTTCTGAATGCCAATTTTTGTTTTTGTTTTAAAGAATATGTTAAATTGCAATACCTAATAAATAAATGGTTTTAAATGTGGTATTTAAGATTGTCATTTTCACAGAGATTTAAACAGTTAACTCAGTGGACAAGGTGCTCCCTCATAGTTTGGAGCAAAAGCACCCTGATTGTTGGTGAAAGCAGGACCCAAGAATGTCCAGTAGAACTTGATGTATTTAGAGCTCTGAAACTAAATGGCCACATCTGTCATAAAGTTGATGTGCACTAGTAGCCTAAATGACATAGGGAAAGCTAACATTCCTTTCTCTAAAGGTTGTTTTTTATTTTTAAAAATTTTTTGTCCCTGCTTCCCCCTTCTCTACTGCCCCTATTAATCATCACACGTGGCAAAGTAAATGTCTGATTTGTGCGCTAGTATGTAGGTTTTGTAATATTCAGCCTACCTAAAGATAATCATACTCTGAAATTCTCATGATTTGATGTTTAATTGTTAGTGTTCATTATGTGCCTTCTTGTGAAAGTGGGTTTTACTGGAAAATGTGTATCATTTGGTGACATATAGGAGGGGCGACCCAGAAAAACCCAGAATTATCTTTTGGAGGGCAGACCCCTTGCAGTACAGGCTTCCCCTGTATTTAAGTGTTCTCGGAACCCATAGGCATCAGTGTACCAGCTAGCACTGCTGTGAGAGGCTGCGTTTGGCTTCTGTGAATTTTTTTTTTTGAGATTATTTCAACACATTTATCCATTTCATGATGGTTAATTTACACGAACAACCTGCCCACACCGTGCTGAGTGCTCTGCAGTTTTTGATCAGAAGTGGCATGACCTCCATGCCCCACCTTTCATAGTCACCCAATCTCGCCCCAAGTGACTTTTTTTCCCTGATGAAAAAAGTTCTCAAAGGGAAATGTTTGCTGATGTGAAAGAAGTGAAACAAAAAAACAGAAGCACTAAAAATCATCAAAATTGACGAACTCAAAAACTGTTTTGAGCAATGGAAAAAAGCACCTTGATGGGTGTATTGCATCAAATGGAGAGTATTTTGAAGGCGACTGAAGTTTAAACATGTAAGAATAAATACACAATTTTTAATAAATAAATTCCAGTTTTTTGGGAGTCCCCCTAATATGTATATGTATAGCTAGAATACAGTTCCCATTGCTTCTTCTTCATTAGACCTAGCCAAGGCCTTAAACATCTTTTTTTATAACAGCTGTTTTCTTAACCAGCTTCTACTTAACTGACTTGCCAGAATAACAATGCTTTATTCCCTTTGTAAAGCATGCTATTATTGCCCACAAAATGTACTCTCTGGCTAATCTCCAACCTCCATTCTCCCCACACTTTTTTGCTTTTTCTCAGAGTTGTATACTTTCCAAGAGTCAGTTATAAATGTTTAAATCATAAATGCTGGTTGAACTTAGGTTATAATTAGGTAATTGATGTCATTATGAGAAAATTTGTATGAAACAGTAATTTATAATACAATTTGATAAAAGCAAGTCACTTTCTTAGTTGCTGCTGAATTGATGTGGATGAGTTTGTGGAAAAGTAATAGTAATATTCTAGAAGGGTTCTGTATTCAGCTTTCTTTAAAAGTGTCTTTACAGCTTGCTTCATTTTAAAGAAACTTAAATTAAAACTCTTCTGTAATTAACTGCTTTTTTTAAAATTAAATGACCAATACTAACACTTCTGATTGCATTAGATAATAGGGCTTCTACTGTCATTTTGAAGACTGTTGTTGGCTGTCTTGGGTGCTATAAGCCTCAGCAACTGTGACTCCTAGGCATCGTCTGTGCGATTTTATTTAGTTGCCAAAAAGCCCTTCCACTGTCTTCTGTCAATTTCTCCATATTCTACAGTCTAGAGATATATATTTGTCCCTTAATCTGTGGTGATGAAAAGTTATGGTAGTTTATTTAAAAATATGTAACTCTTTATCTTAAACTGAAATGCTTGTTTTTCTACATTCTACAGTCACCTTAACCAGAAAACCCAGTTTGAAAATCCAGTGGAGGAAGCCAAAAGGAAAAAGCAGTTAGGACAGGCTGAAATTGGGTCTTCAAAATCAGGTAAAAGTTTTCTATCTTTTTTTCTAAGAATAATTTGTGAAATTTGTATCCTGAGTTAATAGAAATGAGTATGAACTTTTTATTGCTGGGGTTTTGATGTTCAACACAGAATGTCTAATTTTTGTCACTGTAAATATATGAATAATCTTTTTTTTTTTTTTTTTTTTGAGTTAGAATCTTACTCCATCACCCAAGCTGGAGTGCAGTGGCATGCTCACAGCCACCCCAGCATCAACTTGTTAGGCTCTGGCAATCCTTCTGCCTCAGCCTTCTAAGTAGCCAGAACTACAGATGCATGCTACCATGCCCCACTAATTTTTTTTTTTTACTTATTGTAGAGACGAGATCTCACCAAGTTGCCCAGGCTGGTCTTGAACCCATGGGCTCAGGCAATCCACTTGCCTCAGCCTTCCAAAGTGGGAATACAGGCTGAGCCACCAAGCCCAGCCATAAGAATAACCTTAATAAAATATCTAAACATTGTGAGAATACTGAGTTTTTTTTCATGATTATATTAAAAACATGAAATTGTTGGAAGAAGAAATTTGAGTAGCTTTTTTATGAGTTTGTGGTTTTGTTTTGAATATTGGAATATTTCCTTATATGTTTAAAACAAATCCAATATTAGGTCCCTAGTTCATTATGAGCTTTCCACAAGTTAATTAATTCCTTAAGTCTAGTTTCTATAACCATTCAGGATTTTTCATTAACCAATATTAATAAATATAAATAAATATATCAAATTATTTGCCTAGATCATTGAGTCTCAAGTAGGATGGTAGATATTAATAATATCAGGATCATTAGGGGAGCATTTAGAAAATACGTCCATCCCAAGACTTTGATGAGCTTTTTCACGTATAGGAAGTTCTTACATTCTGCTTCCCCGCCCTCCTCCCTTCTTTTCTTCCCCCTTTTGTTACTAATAACCAGGGGTCTATGTAACGTGGGTCATATTGTAACCCAGTAGACTGCAGTTGCCATGAGAGAAATAGTGGTTTCTGTTTTGAATGTTGGAGGCTCAAACAAATGGCATTTACCGTGGAAGTGCATTGCTGTCCAAAGTCTAGTTTTCTACTTCGAGAAGCCCAGTATAGCTGAATTTTGTTTGTTTTTTAGTATCAAGTGCTTTTCTATATAAGAGATCAGCAAATCTGGGAATAACAAGTGAAATAAGATAGACCCTACTTTCCATTCCAAACCTGCCTTTGTCAGTATTTCCAGAGCAGCCCTGCCTCTTGACGGAGCTGTTTACATTTTGCACAATCTATATGACCATACAGAGCAGCCCCAAGGAGTGTTCTTTTTCTTACCCGACAACAAGCTTTAACTCATACCTCTTAGAACACTCTACTGAGAAGGGCAGCAGCAGATACACACAAATAACTCTGGGCTTGATACTGGTGCTGAGTATGGGCTAAGTATGAAACAAGCCACGCTTGTTAATTTAAGTCATTAGGAAAATGCACAACAAAACCACAGTGAGATACCACTCCATGCCCACTAGCATGGCTACAACCAAAAGAACAGGCAGTACAAATGTTGACAAGGATGTGGAGAAGGTGAGCCCTCCTCTGTTTCCTACTTAGGCAATTTTTGGCAACTGATCAAAATGTTAAACATAATTACCATATGTTTATCGGAAATGCTGGAATTCCCCTCCAATTGTCGCTCACCCCTGACCAGCAGGAAGGAGGCAACAACAACGTGTTCTTCTCAAAGCGGTTTATTCAGCCTTTACGCCATGCCAGCTTCTTCTTGCTTCTTCTAGCTTCTTCTAGCTTCCTCTTCTTTCTTCCCCGTTGTCCCGTACTTATATCCCTTGGTCTCCACCCACAAGTCCCGTTCCAGCGTGTCAGCAGTTCATAGGCTCTGCAGCGCTGCACTTGCGCGGTGCGCAGTGAAGGAGGGCCCGGCGGTATATCATGCGCCTAATCATGGGACTTGGCAGAGGCCCCGGGCGCCATCTTGGCTCAGGCGCTCTCCACATCCAATGTATATATGAGATGAATGAAAACATATCCACACAAAAACTTGTATGTGAATGTTGAATGTTCACAGTAACTTTATCATAATAGTCAAAAAAGGAAATAACCCAAATGTTCATCAGCTAATGAGTGGATAAATAAAATGTGCTGTTTATCCTTACAGTGGAATATTATATTGGCAATAATATAACAAATATATTTGTATTTATTAAATGTATTTTATTGTTTTTCATATTTATATTAATAATAAAAAGGAGAGAAGAACTGACACATACTACAACACAGATAAGCCTCAAAAACACGCCAAGTGAAAGAAACCTTTGAAAGACTACGATTCCATTTATTTGAAATGCCCAGATTGGACAGATCTTCAGTTAGAAAGTAGATTTGTGGTTACCTAAGGCTAGTGTGTGGAATGTGGCTTGGGGAGAAATGAACAGTGACTACTAATGGGCATGGGGAGTTCCTCTGTTGGGGGAAGGAAGTGTTCTAAACTTAGATCGTGCCGATAGCTGCCTGGTATTGAATTATACACTTCAAGTGACTGAATTCTATGGTATGTGAGTTCTATTTTAATAAAGTTGTTTAAAAATAGATATAGCAGAAATTTTTAAACCATTTTTTAAAGTTAGCATACTGTTTTGTAAATTACAAATCTGTACAACTGGATTCTGAGTTTTCATAGCTGCCCTAAAATGGCAGCCATGATAGGGAAGAGGAGAGAAGAGTTTCTAGGGAAGGGGAGGGAAGGAGGTGTTTTTCGCAAATGTGAATCACAGGATCATCTAATCCCTAAAAATAGACTTTTCAAAGAAACTGTGTTTTTCTTCCAGAAGCACCCACTAAACATATGTGAAAGGGATAGAAACACAAAGCTATTTGCTGATAGTGTGGGGATTCATTCCTTCCAACAGATATACATTAAAAGCTATAGAAAGCCTGAGTTGTGAATTATAAGAATTCTCAACATAATCTTTTTCCCAAGTTTGTAATACTTGACTTTGTCTTCCTAGTATAGGGCTTTCTGCATAGAACTTAGGAGATGCTTATTCAAATAAAGGGTATGCTGAATGGGTGTCCAAAACTTTCAGGAATGTAGTTCTAAAAGTTGTATAATTTTGACAACTTTCTCTCTGGGTTGAGAGAAAGTAAGTACAAACAAGACAATGTGGAGGAGATACAGTAGATGCTTTTACTTTCCAAGTAACATAAACGAGTCCTATAAAAGAGCAATTATTCTTTAGATAAGTTTTCTTTTTTTTCACTCCAGAGTTTAAATTCTGTTTTACAACATTAGGTTCTCTCTAATTCTCCTTCCCTTATGGTTTCTTGTATTTAAGTTATATAGATTGTCTTGAAGTTTGACTGTTTTTTAGTTTTGTTCTCAAATTCACTTTTCTTTTTGGAACAGATGTGGAAAAATCACACTTTACACGAGATCCATCCCAACTTAAAGGTGTTCTTGTTCGAGCATCACTGAAAAAAAGCACAATGGGATTTGGTTTTACCATCATTGGTGGAGATAGGCCTGATGAGTTCCTACAGGTGAAAAATGTGCTGAAAGATGGTCCTGCAGCTCAGGATGGGAAAATTACGCCAGGTAACACATTTTTCAGAATTACTTGAAGAATAGTGGTACTATAACAAAATTGCAGTGTAGAGATTTCATATATAATAGAGAATTAAATTATGTAACTGAAGAGAGAAATTCCTGTATTGAAATAGCTTATCCTCTCAATTAAATGCATATTAGCTTTGTTGGAGGGCCATTTTTACCAATAAGCAGAAATAGAGAAAACGTTAAATTTATTAATATTTTGAAATTATATATTTTGAGATAGTCCTTTGGCTGTATAATGCTAAAGCCTTATTAACCGTCTCAGAAAACTATTTAATTGTTGGATTTTCTTTAATTATGCAGGATACTTTTGGAGCTATGTAACACTTACCTATAATCTTGTTTGAAAAATAGTCCTCTGTGATGTTTATAATGATATCAAACAAATTGTTATATCCTGCGGTTTTTCCCCCAAATTTATTTGCTTCCTTAATCTTACTTGTTGTTAGTAAAATTTAACTCCTATGTTACAAATTATGAACACAAGTATTACCATTTTCACAAAGTTGTGTAAACTTAAGTTGTTGTTTATATAGTTTTTCCAAAGTCTTTACTTGGTAATTGTGGGATATTTTAATATGGCTGGCAGGGTTTGTGGCTCAGGAGCTTGGAAGAAGTTCAAGACTAGTTATTGATTGTGGGGGAGGTTTAAAGACTTCTTTCCAGTATTTTAGTCTTATACTGAGTTGCTTCTTGAAGTGTTTGCTAGACCTCTCTAATACTCTGTTATTTCACATGCCATGTAAATGTGGACTCACTTTTGGCTGTTGAATTGTCAGAGTACTTTTTGATGACAGATGCCACATTTTTTCATTGGGGATATGAGATCTCTCATATTGCACTTTCCCATTAAGGTGATAGAAACTTAAAACAAGAAGACTTAAAATAATCAAAAGTTATATTTATAAAGAAAATTATTTTAATTCCACCTTATTACTTTATAAAATTAACATACTCGAGATTAAAATTAATAGTAAGATTTTTTTGTTTTTAGTTTTGAACTTTTCAACATTTTATCCATAAAACACATCTCTTAGCTATTGTATGTACTGTTGGAATTTCATAATATACTTTCAGATTTACCTAAAACTGCTATCAACTAATTTGCATAGTAATGCAATACTTTCAAGAAAATTCTTTCATTAGGGGAGGAAAAGTCAAAACTTTGTTTCTAATCAGTCTAATTTTGATATCTTCTTAGATTATGCAACGAATTTCCACAGACTTAACATTTGTTTTTAATACCATTCAGGTTAGTTTTTTTAAAGCCATCAGAACAAATTAAAGCTCCTTTATTTAGTAATCGCCTTTTAAATAATCGTATAAAATAAAAGCAAATGGATGAGACAGCAGAGGCCAAATTTTAAGTCAAGGCAGCATTAAAAAAATACTCAACCAATGAATGTCAAGTGGTAATGATTGTGCAAACAAAATAGTCATTCTAATGTAAAATTAGAAAGCAAACTCAACTTTTATAAGGATTAATCTAGCTTGTCAGTGTCTTAAATACTGTGTCCTTTGCTTGTATTGAGTTTTTTGTTGATTGTTTTACCTTTTGAGATCTGAGTTATAACAAATTTTAAATATTTACAAAAAGAAGGATGCTAAAAAGAAATACATTCATAAATTAACGTTATTCTAATCTTCAGCTCTACATGTCTCAAACTAGAAAGAATTTTTAAGTACATTGTAATCAGTAGCTTCTTAAACTCATGAAATAAGGTGGTATTTAAAGAAAGCCTTAACTTTAAATACTTTGTATACTTTGTACACTTAACCAATGAAGCTATTTGCTTCTCCTCTTTGTACTAAATAAATGTCTCCCACAATGTGCCTAGCTTTGTATGGCCTCTTAGGTATGACTCAAGAGGTATACTAACAATGATCACATGAATTTCTAGGGTTTTAAAAATTATTCTCTTGAGCTTGAAGTCAAAACTTTTTACTGCTAAGATAGTCAAGATTTTTGACATTTATATATACTTTTTAGAGAGTTACAAAAGGGGAAATGTCTGTGTTAGGAATCTATCTTCTCAGGAGTTAGTAAACAGTAAGAAGTTTCTAGAATTTATATTAAGTTGTTAAATTTAAGTTATTTTTGCCTCCCTACCTCAGCAAAAAATTAACCTTTGGTAATTTTAATATTTTTAACATGATTATATTTTACCAGGTGATGTCATTGTAGACATCAATGGCAACTGTGTCCTTGGTCACACCCATGGAGATGTTGTCCAGATGTTTCAATTGGTACCTGTCAATCAGTATGTAAACCTCACTTTATGTCGTGGCTATCCACTTCCTGATGACAGTGAAGATCCTGTTGTGGACATTGTTGCTGCTACCCCTGTCATCAATGGACAGTCATTAACCAAGGGAGAGACTTGCATGAATACTCAGGATTTTAAGCCAGGAGCAGTGGTTCTGAATCAGAATGGAAAATCGGGACACACCTTGACCAGTGATCGTCTCAATGGACCGTCAGATCCAAGCGAGCAGAGAGCATCCATGGCATCATCAGGCAGCTCGCAGCCTGAACTAGTGACTATCCCATTGATTAAGGGCCCTAAAGGTTTTGGGTTTGCAATTGCTGACAGCCCTACTGGACAGAAGGTGAAAATGATATTGGATAGCCAGTGGTGTCAAGGCCTTCAGAAAGGGGATATAATTAAAGAAATTTACCATCAAAATGTGCAGAATTTAACACATCTCCAAGTGGTAGAGGTGCTAAAGCAGTTTCCAGTAGGTGCAGATGTACCATTGCTTATCTTAAGAGGAGGTGAGTAAAGCACAAGGAAAAGGCATCAATGTCCAAGCATTTGCATCTGTTGACCATCCTCTCTTAGGGATTAGAATGTCTTTTTCCAGCAGACTTAACTGGTAATTAGCATGCATTTTCCTTAGGGTTCTGTCTGATTGTTTCCATAAGCAGTGTCTTTTTCAGCAACGTTTTTACTTATTAGTGGTTCCATTCATGTCCATTATGGATTCTTTCCTTCTCTATTCTTTTTAAAATCTGATTTATGGCTTTAGTGATTAAAAAGAGTCAGCATTATGCTACTTCAAATGAAATATATCCTCTTAATTTCATTTTCTCTGTTGATGATAATAATGGAAGTTGACTCTTTCAATCAGTGATGCTTCATCTGGACTTGGGTAATGCACCAAAGATGTTTTGAAAGGGCTATCTGTGGATAAGTGAAATGTTGGATGGTGTGTTAATCTGTTCTGCAAAGACAATCATGATAGCTTGTACTTGTAAAGCTTTTATCTTAAGCTGTAGTATCTGCCTATAAATGTTAATTAAACCCCACAGTGCTTATGTGAGAGAAATAGGATTTTTATTTTCCAAGGTCATCAGCTGATATGAACTACTCCCAAACACTATAAATCCAGTTCCAAGGATTAATCACAAAGTGGCATTTCAATAGGCTTTCTTAAATCCATACCTACGAATGACTAGTGTTTTAAAGAATAGAATCTAGCCTTTTACTCTTTTATCTCTCTGGCTTTTGGTTTTCATTTCTGAAGCAAGTGAGCACTTTAACTTCTTTGGGGATTTTTTTCTTATTCTCATTTCTTTAAACCATATTGGTTTCTTCTCTGGGTAATGGTAGAATGTGCTCAGAGTAAGGCAAAATTATCTTCATGAGTACTTGAGAGCTATCCAGAGCTTCAGCAAATATAACAGACACCAGATTTTGCTGTCACACTGGTTTGATGTCAGTTTCCTGCCTTGCCACATATGGGTTCCAAGGTATGGGAAGAGTCTAGTTTATCGCCTATAAAGTGATCATTACATATATGCCTTCAGATTGTCATAAAAATGAAATGAGATAATACATATATAAAGCCTGGCACATAGGAGGTGTTAGACATAGATGGAATTTACTAGCCTACTAAAAAGTGAAGCTAGTTTTATTATATAAACTAGCAGTATTTATTACCCGGGAATGCTTCCTCTGTTTTAAAAATGTGTCTCCTTTTTTTTAAGGTCCTCCTTCACCAACCAAAACTGCCAAAATGGTGAGTATACACTGGGCCTCAAATGCTTCTTCCCAACACTGAGAGATGCTTCATTCTTCTCTGTAGAAGCAGCTCACAGTGGTGGTGATTATCGACTGGGAGAAGTCAGGAGGCATACTGCCCTGGGCTTGTGGCAGAAACTCTAGGGCAGCATTAGAAAAAACCTCTAGTGAGGGGTTGTGCTCTCCGGGTGCAGTATTGCTATTGGAGGAATATTAGAGACCCATTGTACCAATAATCTTGTTCTCTGCATAGAAAAGCATAGACACACTGAAGAACTTTCTTAAGGGTTCTTCTACTTTCTTTGTGTTAACTCTTACATCTCCTGGCTAATATCTGAAGAGAAGATGTATAGCTTCATATAATTTCATGGGGACTATAAATACCCACATTTAGACAACCTTCTTACGTTTAGGACTAAACAAAACTTTCTGGAGTAATTGTGGCCTTCTGTGCTAAATTTTCTTATTATTAAAATGAAAGACTGTCAGATTGGAAGCAGTGTCTTTCTTTGGCATTCTGCTGAATAACCAAGAGGCCTATTTAAGGACCTATATAGAGAATAAGAACAAAAAGAGTGCACCACATAATGCTGTTGTGGAAGAGACTACTAGATGCACATTTGTGGCTATTCAAATATCTACAATTATGTGGATATAGGTATAAAGACAACTATTTAAAATTTTAATTCTAGTTTATTTGATTTGGAGTCTTTCATCTCAGAATTGAAAGATGGTCTTTCATAACCATAAACCACAGACTCTTAAAGACTATCTAATATTACATGGATTAACCAAGTAGGAATCCTCTGCAAATGTTATTTTATGGATTAGAAGGAAAGAAACACTCAGCTTCTGCCCTTATTATCGGTTGTTTATATTACTTAGGTCTAATGTGAACAGAAATTCTTTTTGTCCATTCAGTTAATATTGCACTATGTTTTTCTACATTTCTCTGGTTCCTCTAGTAATCGTGCCTAACTCCTCTGCCACCATATCTATTTCATAATGGATGCCACTGCAGCCACAGTGACCCTAATGCTTTGGAACTGATGGAAGGCTCCAATGACCTTTAACTGCCTCTGCCTCTGACAGAATGCTAGGACATGTGGGGGAAAGGGAGGAGGCTGCTCTTACCTTCTCCACCCTCTGACTAGGTCTGGGTCAGTGAAGGGTTCCCTCTGGCACAACACTTTATAGTAACTGACCCCTCATTACTCTCTGACAAGCTGGTGCCCCTGCATTCTAGTCAGCATTAATTATCACAGATGTCTGTAATCTCCCTCTCCTTACAAAAATTCAGGACAATAAGCTGGTCTCAAACCATATTGCTTAGGCTATTTATTGGATTTTTAACATTGTATTAAAGAAGTCATTTTGCTTGGCTATTATTTTGGGAAAGTTCTCTCTGAATAGGAAAAATATCAAAACATGCTACTCTGTTTTCCCTTATCTGATTGCCTGGCGTAGTAAGTTTTCCTTTAATATATTTGAATTGGCCAGGCAGAGTTTTCAAAGTGTTATCTTTATAACCTAGATTAGAGTTAACCCTTCCTATCCCATTTGCTTAGAAAGAATATTATCTCAAACATCATCACTGGAAATTAAATTCAGTGAGTGGGAGGAGGAGCTTATCAAAATTTCATGATGTATTCTCTGAGTCTCCCTATTGCTTTTACCGAGAAGTTGCTGCCTTGTATTATATTTCTATTTATCTTCATCTCAAAGTCATTCTGTGTCTTGGTACAAAAAAGATTGCTTAAATAGGACTGACGCCCTTTAGATGATACCATTATAAACTTTTTTCTAATTTAAGTTAAGTATGTTTTAGCCAAATACACATGACTATGAAAGTGAATTTCTGTAAGACTGCACATCTGCTGTGGCTTTGATCCTGCCACCTATACAATTGTAATCAGTTGACATATCCAGTTCAAATAACAGTTTTATGAATTAATCAACCACCTGATTTTTAAAAATATACTTAAGTAAGTATTTCCATTTTCCATTTCAGAAAACAGATAAAAAGGAAAATTCAGGAAGTTTGGAGGCCATAAATGAGCCTATTCCCCAACCTATGCCTTTTCCACCAAGCATTATCAGGTCAGGATCCCCAAAATTGGATCCTTCTGAGGTCTACCTGAAGTCTAAGACTTTATATGAAGATAAACGTAAGTAGTTGTGGAGTATTTCAGAAGAGCATGTAATACAATAAATTTGGATTTTTTTAAAGCTGAAACCTTCCCATCTTTCAGAAACATATTGAAAGTTATTCCTTCGCTCCCATTTTAATATGACCCTGGACTTCTTCCATGTACATTCAATATTCACTCATTCATTTTTCTCAAAACCATATATTAAGTGCCAGCTACCACTGAAATATAGAGAGAGACAGGTTACATGGGCCCTGCACCCAAAAGTATTAAACCTAGATGGAAAATACAGACATGTAATCAAATAAATGCATGTAAGCCTAACAGGTACAGTGATCAAAGAATGAACTGGATAAATTGGGATCCAAACTAGGAAATGGTGAGTGTCATCAGTGGGGGAGGTAGCAAGTATCCAATAAAGCTTAATACTGGAAGTAAAGCTTTAACCAAGTCTTCAGAGATGAAAAGATGATTATGAGAACGATAATAGAGAAAGACAGAAGGAATAGCATTTGCACCTTGGCCTTGCATGGCCTGGGTTCTGCAAGTAGTTCGCCTGGGATGGGTGTGATAAGGAAGGGAAGTCAGAGAAGAGGAGGAGCAGGCTGAGGAGGGCCAACTATGCCCTTTTGAGGAAGCTGGAATTAGTCATACGAATGAGAGAGAGTCACAGAATGGCTTGACTTGGGAAGATATTACTGGGCTTGTGTTTTAGAAAGGTTTTTCTGGCAGGAGTATGGAGGATGAATCAGAGGTCTTTGATAGTTGAGGAGAAAACCAAAGTGTGAACTCCTTCAAAGAGCCCAGCTGAGAGATGAGAAGAGAGTGCATGAGGCAGAAGTGCATGTTTATATTAATTCACTTACTAATGACAAATATTTCCCAAAATAAAATTGCAGATTCAAATAGGTTTACTTTTTAATGTGTATGTTTCTAAGAAATAGATCTAGATCTTCTTTGGACAAGATATATATAGGTGGGAATATATGTAATTGACTTCATGCGTGCTTAACTGGTTACAGAATTTTATCTGTAACACATTTAAAAAGATGAAAACCAGGTGTAAACAGAGCAAAGCAATAATTTGAATTACTATAACCATCTAGAATCCCTTTCTTCAGACTTTCCATTCATAGTTTGATATATTCTTCATGTTGGTGTATACCCTGCATTCCCATTGGGCTTCACCCATAAAATAAGTGACTCGGACTTCTGACTCCTTTAATCTTTAAAGTTCTACAATTTTAATAGGAAGTGTTTATCAAAAGTGATTGTTTCTAAAGAAATATTGTGAGGAATTTATCTTGTATCTCACTTTTTATTTAGTTCCCTGACATGTTTATCTCTTTTCTCTTTCTAGTAAATACTTCCTACTTATAAATAACATTAGTATTTTCCCAAAGATAAAATCTAAGTCATGAACCAGCTTTTCCTAACCTAATATTCTGAGGAATACAACCTGTCCTTTGGGGTCAGGATAGTATGGGGTAAGAGCCTGGACCTTGACAGTCAAGCTGGATTTAAATCTCCGCTCTGCCACTTACTTGCTGTGTGATACTGGTCAAGTTACTTAGACCCTTGGTTTCACCTAGAAAATGAAGCTAATAATAGAAGTTAGTTGTTATTTACTTTCCTTTAAAATATTATCATTTTGCAAAATTAGGCTAGGTAAGTAGTTCATATAGAATACTCTTCTGAGACAAAGGTATTCTCTTGAGAGTAGAAATAATTATTTTATGGACTCTATTTTCCTAGGATTTAAAATACCTTACCCAAGTGTTAACTTAGATCATTTGCATCTATCAAATATCAAACTCAAATTGGATAATTCTGAATTTATTATTGTAATATTGATTGGACATTAGAAGTCATGGCAATGTAATACTGAGTGCATAAAAGTGGGAGTAAATATTTCTGAACAATCTTGATACAGCTTTGTTTAGAACTCAAAGCAAGGATTTATAGTTGAATTTTATGTGTGTGTTACACTGTTGTGTAAATGTTCACATATCAGAAAGTTATGAGATTATAATTTGAGTTACTCTATAATGTTATCCTACTAAATATTGAAATTTGTTAGGTTTTAATCCTTTTAAAATAGACGAAAGTATTCATTTTATATTTTCTGGTTTTCCTTAGCACCAAACACCAAAGATTTGGATGTTTTTCTTCGGAAACAAGAGTCAGGGTTTGGCTTCAGGGTGCTAGGAGGAGATGGACCTGACCAGTCTGTAAGTGTCAGTTCTTTGGAATATGGCTGTTTCTCTTCAAACTTTTGGCTGGTGATTTGGTGGAAGAGGATGTGTTTTGTTTGTTTTTGTTTGAAGTTTTTTTTATTGTGTTTTGTTTTGCCTTGGCTTTGTTTTTTTCTAATAGTTTCATTAATATAAGGAAGAATTACCTGTGCATGCTGGCATGCACCAGTAGTCCCAGCTACTTGGGAGGTTGAGGCGAAAAGATTGCCTGAGCCCAAGAGGTCAAATTTGTAGTGAGCAATGATTGTGCCACTGGACTTCAGCCTGGGTAACAGAGTGAGGCCCCAATCCCCCAAAAAACAAAAACAATATAAGGAAGAAGTGCACTTCTATTAATGTCTTCAGTCCCTCAGTTAAGTTATACCTCAGTGGTATAACTGAGGCTAAAAATCGTAGGTAAAAACTGAATGTCAGCTGCATATTGGAGAATGATTAATTTATTACTTGTCTGGGTAAATAAATAAGTAAAGTTTATTCTGACTTTTTATTTCCCTTTGACTTTGTTAAGACAGAGTTTAAGACATTGTCTTGTTTAGGAAACCTATAACCCTATATTCTCTTTCCTACAATTACTTTTATCTTCTGAATGCTCCATAAACAGTTGGCATGAGCCTGTATATGCTATTTCACCCAATCTTTATTTATTTATTTATTTATTTATTTTTGAGATGGGGTCTCACTCTGTCACCCAGACTGGAGTGTAGTGGCCGCTCCCGGCCACCGCAGCCTCGACCTGCTGGACTCCGGCGATCCTTCTGCCTCAGCCTTCCAAGTAGCCGGAATTACAGGCATGCGTTACCACACCCGGCTGATTTTTTGATTTATTGTAGAGATGAGGTCTCGCTGCCCAGGTGGGTCTCGAACCCGTGGGCTCAGGCAATCCACTCACCTCAGCCTCCCAAAGGCGCGGGATTATAGACTGAGCCACCAAGCCCTGCTTATTTCACCCAGTCTTATTAATGGGTTGGCATCTCCATGCTCGGCACTTTGCTTGTCATTTCATCTGTTACCTATGAAACTAGGGAAATATAAAATAATATTTCTGTCCAGAAGACATAAAAAACATTTATCTTATATATATCGATATGTAGATATCTAAATATATATATTATATATGCATACACACACACACACACACACACACACACACACACACACACACACACACACACACACACACACACACACATTTTTTCAAGTTCGAGTCCCACTCTTTCACCCAGGCTGGAGTGCAGTAGCACACTCATGGCCACCACCGCCTCGACCTGCTGGGCTCAGGTGATCCTTCCGCCTCAGCCTTCCAAGTAGCTGGAGCTACAGGTGCATGCCACCATGCCCTGCTAATTTTTTCAAATCTATTGTAGAGGCAGGGTCTTGCCAAGTTGCCCAGGCTGGTCTCAAACCCCTGGGCTCAGGCAATCCTCTCACCTCCATCTCCCAAAGTGTTGGGATTATAGGTGTGAACCACTGCACCTGACCAAGAGTTATATTTGCAAAGCATTTAATGTGTAGAAATTTGTTTATATATGAGTCTCACATAAAGCTGATTTAGAGAACAAATGTAGCAGGCTTTGTTTTTAAGTTTTGCACTTGGTTTGAATAACAGAGAACTAATGTGCACACTGTATTGTATTCTTACTATAATACAGTGTGTAGAATTAAGAACATATATTTTCTTTTATATAATATCAAAAAGACTATATTGTTATACTTGGAAGCTAGGCAAAAAAACAGTAATTTTTTTAAATGACAGGCTTTTTTCTAGTTCTGTATAGAACATTTTATTATATATTATAAATTAGTTCTAATTAGTCATATTCTTTACAATTACAACAATCATTGGAGATACATAAAACTTAAGGCAGGTAGGCCTATACACATAAGGCAAATATAAGACTTTGTTCTTGGTGGTATAGTATTTTTGTCTTATTGCTTCCCATTTTGTTGATATTCATGGTGTTCACTTAGACATTTTAAGAATTTATCTTAAACAACTTGGGAGAAGCCTTTCTTTTTTCTTAAATGTCAGCTTTTAGCAGCTTTGAAAGTAGCCCCAGACAGTCAGGATTGACTCATTCTAGGATTCTAATTGCTAATGAGCAGAATGAATTGAATTTCTTCACCTGGGTGCAAGTGAACCTCAGGCCACTCTGTTCCCTTTCAGGTTTAGAAATAAGGAGTGTTTCTGCATTATATACAGTGAACTTGTATTGTTAGCCATATGTGATGGGAGTATCGTTAAGAATGATCCCAGTTGCTGTGAACAGTGGTGCAGAAAATCTTGCCCGATGACATTGAGGATACTTTTTTTACTTCTAGTAACTACTCCACAGAATTGCATTTTCTGAATTTAGTGTTTTGTTTCATTGTAGTAATGGAAATAATGGTGGTGCTTTTGAGTTACTGAACAACTATTTATTTTTCTATCTTATTGTACCAACCCTGAGGATATAGAAAGGATTACACAATACAGTGTGGTTATTTGGTCTACCATTTTGGAGAATGGGCACTTCCTAAGATATCACCTTTGTAAAATATGACTGTTTTCACAGTTGAACTGCAAAAATCTGATGGTTTACACAATGCTGAGTCAGGAAATCCTTAACCCATTAACTGAACTTAGACTGCAGACCAATCTATCCTTTGTTATTTTATTAGATATATATTGGGGCCATTATTCCTCTGGGAGCAGCTGAGAAAGATGGTCGGCTCCGTGCAGCTGATGAACTAATGTGCATTGATGGAATTCCTGTTAAAGGAAAGTCACATAAACAAGTCTTAGACCTAATGACGACTGCTGCTAGAAATGGTCATGTGTTATTAACAGTAAGAAGAAAGATCTTCTATGGAGGTACCGAACCTGTTTCTGCTCCGGAAAGTTAAAAAAACAGAGACATGGTCCACTTTCTGTGTAGTTTCACAGGTTATTTTATTATGTTTAATAGTATATGAGATGACCCATTTAGTGTGATCCTGGAACTCATTGTGAAAGGCCATGTGAGGTCAAAAGGATCCAGACATTCTACTACTACCAAAAGATAAATACATTTTGGGCCTCTGTATTAAGATTATATTAATATAATATATTGATACTTTTTTGCTAATGTGGTATTGTAGGATGGAAATATCAGTTTAAAGAAAATTTTTTTTAATACAAAGTTATTTAGTCATGACAAGGTATCCCACTTAGCTGACTATACAAAGATTTTGGATCCTGATGAAATCCCAACTATTCAAGGAAAGTGGAATGTTTCTACTTGAGAAGTTTTAGTATAATCTAACATTTATTGATTGCTAGCTATACCCCAGTCACATAGATTATTTTACGTAGCCCTTTGCACTCAAATGCCCCCTCTCAGAGACAGGTTAAACTTACGCCAGCACATATTTTTCAAATATATGTTTCCTTAAAGTTTTCCATTCAAATTGCACAAAAAAGCAAATAAAGAGATGGAATATATACTAAGATATATGTAAAAATATACCAGCTGGTGTTATATAGAAAGACATTGTATGAAGTGCTTTCACAGTGGTGCTCAGACCGGACAATAAATTACATATTATTAATCTGGGAGAAAGAAAACAAGACTGCATTGTCTGCTCAAATAGAAAAACAACAGGTTGAAGATGTCAAACAAATTACTATTGCATAACATATATCAATGAACCTGCAATGCATGTCGGTGACTGTTTCATGTTACCACACATTAGAAAAATGTAAGATATAAAATTTTGATTTCTTTATATAAATAAGTTCCTCCACGTCCTAAATTCCATGATAAGCCAAAGATCATTACAATAAAATAAGTGGTTCCAATTCTATACTATTTAATATAAAGTAATTCATTTTTTTCACTATTTTGTAAAAAAATTCAGTCAAATTGCTGGTAGATCTCCAGGTGCAAAAGGCTAATCTTCACAACACTGTGATATAAATACTGTCATTATCTACTTCTACAATTACTCACAGAAAGGTTGAAAGACACATAACTGATAAGTTACAGGACCAGGATTAAACTCACAGTTTAATTGCATTAGGATAGGAACATCTCTTAGTTTTCTCATGTAGCTTTTTAAATATTAATTGGAATTTTTTTAATAAGTAAATTGCTACCACCTTAAATGTTCATTAGTTTACATCACTCTTAAAAATGATGCACTATCATTTTTATTGCAACATCCAGAGTAAAGGACGGCCTCCTTTAGCAAAAATACCAGGCATTTAGAGATGCATACATATTTTAATGTAGTGTTGCCTCAGTTTGGTTGTGCTGGAGTCGGAACATAACTACTTACAGCAAAAATGTGATGTTATACATTCTACAGGTTTGGCTTTTCCCTAGAAGGGTTCATGAAGAAATTTCATAGTAGTGTGGTATTGCTGGAGATTTTGTGGCTCATTCATTCTAACCATACATTATGCGGATATCCTTTTACTTTTCAGTAGTGATCGGATGTTGGTGGCATTTTGTTGAAATTCTAAAACATATTCTTAAAATCATGAATTTTGAGCCAAAAGAAACCCTATAAATGTGTGCACAACTGCAGTGTGTTGTCGTTGTTGTTGATGATAGTTTGTACCAAATTATGGCACAAAATATACCCTTCTTAAAAAAACAATTAGGACTGACTGTGTGTCATTCCCAAATTCTGCTGTCATCCTTGAATAGCAGAAAAAGATGTAGGTTAGCTGCCCATTTACTGGGAATTCCATATCTCCATATCTATGCCCAGAAAGAATTTGCTGTTCATGTGAACAGTTTGTAATGGGCCCCAGCAAGGGGGATAAACGGGACTGAGAGCGGCTACTGATGAACTCATCTGATATCATCAATCAGGAAACTGCAAGTGCAGAACACATTGTATAAGACACATCCTGTGCCGGCGGCACACTGTGTCAATGGGGCAGCATTTCTGCCCCGATGCTTTAACCTCCAAGACATCAATGAACGTCAGGCACTGAACTAGATTATATTTACAGTTGATTTTAAAAGGAAGTTTACTGGGTCAGTCCTCATTATATACTTTTGTTAAAATTACCAGTCAAAGTTACAAACCTTGACAGAATTAAAACAATGTTAAGAAGAATTTTTTTACTATCAAATAGTTCCTTTCAAATGAGATACCATTAGATCATATGCATTTTTTTTCATAAGTAATATACTTTAAGTGTTTGGTAAGTCAGATGACTGCTGCCTCCAGCATCTACACTCAGCTTAGTCCAAAGCTCACGTGGGAGGCTGCTTTTCTATTCTTTGTTACTAGAAACTAAATTTTCTTGTGAGAGGCTTAGCATAAAAACACTTAGTTACCAATATGTATGGTGTTCTGAGATCAAAACTAATCATGTTTATTCTAGAAAAACAACCTGAGGACAACGGCTCTCAAGGCTTCATTTCACCACAGAATGGATCTCCCCGCCTGAACCGAGGAGAGGCCCCAGCCAGGCCTCCGCAGGAGGCCTATGATGTTATCTTGCAACGAAAAGAAAATGAAGGATTTGGCTTTGTCATCCTCACCTCCAAAAACAAACCACCTCCAGGAGGTAAGAGTTATTGTATCTTACTTACTGTCTCTCCCTTCAAGGCTGGTTTTCTGAGCCTCCCACTAGAGTTTATAAAACTGATTAGGAACTATGTACAAATTGCTGGAGAAATTTTTCTTTTTAAGAATGGTGAACATTTTCCTTGGTTTTAAAATTAGGTAATCCGAACCAAACCTTCCATGTTTCAAGTTTACTTAGCTCAGATTTCATAAAATAAATCTCAGTAGCTCAGTTTACATCGATATTATACTGAGATGATGTATCGGGGACATGACTTAATGGATTTAATGAAAGATACGGTGCTAAATGTTCTAAAAACATGGGGGCATAGTTTTTTTTAAATTAGGATAAATCATGTATGCAGAAATGAATTAAAACTAGAAGCAATTGAAAAGCAAAACAGATTAACAGAAAAATCTTGACCCAAATATATCTTAGTTATTTCATGTCATTTAATAATAATTACCATATTCTAGCTATAAAATGCCCTTGTTGAATAATAGAAGGCATTCCTTCTTTTCATATATATTTCATTGAAAGGTAAAAACTTTGCTGAAACCTTTGAAAATTAATCTAAATATCTTGAACCAAGTTTAACAGAATATTCTCATCTGGGAAGGATGAATGTCTATACATATCATTTCCATCCTGTGTCTAGTATGTGCGGGGCTGTTATAATTTAGCAAATGAAGTATCTGTCTTGATGTTTCTAAGAAATAATCTTTTAATATAATTATAAAATCCAATTGAATATAAGATGAAAACCAGCACATTGATATTTATATATGATGTTTGTCTGATACCTTTATCTTTCTGAGTCAGGTGACAAAATATTTTACCACATAAAAATGCACTCTTGCCTATGCCAGTGGGTTTGATTATTTCTTGGTTAGTGAGATCCTTTTAGACTAGATGGTTACTGAAACCTCAGTAATAAAAAAGAAAACACTTAGGAAAGTGTTGTGAGCCAAACCAGTTTGCAAAATCTTACTAAAATTAATGCAAGTGTGTAAAGGAAGAAGAGTCTGTGGCATGTATGAGTTATTGCTATAGTGTTAGGTCACTGCTCATTGGTACTAGTTTCCGTTTTCCAAAAGCAGTTGCTATGGTAACAGTTGGAGCTGGAACTGACACTGATGCTGTGAAGATGATTATATGGCCTGAGTCAGAAAAATGAAGGGAAAGCAGCTTTTAGGTGGTGTTCATGTCGTGTCATTGGAAATCAGTATTTCTAAAAACAGATAACCATTCAGGATAATCATATTGTCATTCTAATATCATCCAATCATCCTAGGCATTGAGATTAACAAAAAGAGTAAAAGATTATCATTTTAGTACATAGATGGTAACTACTTCTTATATTGAAAATAATCTCTTTCTAGCACTACAAAAATTAGGTGAGAGTCTAGTGTTTACCATGAAACTAAGTGATATAGAGGAATTCAGGAAAATAAGTCACTTTACTTAAATATGTTTAAGCATGCTTTATATCTATTTGTTTGTATTTTTAAAGCATATTACATTTTCGTGTATTATATATTAGTTTTATTTGTATATATTACTTAAAATCTTTAAATATTTTGTTATTGATGTATTTTAACAATTTTTTACTATTTTGATGGTTTTGCCTATGTTGATGTTCAATTTCTGTATAAGATAGTGTCATTAAATGTTTTGTAATCAAACAAACTTGGATTCAAGCCCTGCTTAGATCTTTTAGTAGTTCCCTGATCTTGGGCAAAATACTGACCTTCCAAGAACTCCAGTTTCCCTTTAAAATGAGGATGGTGATGGCATTCCCTATCTCGTGTGACCTGAAGGTTAAAGGAGACACAGCATGTGAGGCCTTAGCCCAGACCTTCCATAAATATCAGCTGCTGTTGGAGCTTCTGCTGCTGTTATCGTCATTATTATTTAGAAAATTGCCACGGTCCCTTGACCTTTCTTTTAAAGAAACTTTAAAAGTTTATCAATACTTAATAATGAGATGGGAAAGAAAGCCCAATTGAAATGTAAGGTTGAGGCAGCAGCTAATGTGTGGCAGGATGAGTGTTTGCAGCTCATTAATTATCAGCCTGGATAGTGAATTAGGCTCAGGCTGCTGATGAATTTTAAATAAAGTACTTGAGACTTTCAGTCATGGTGTAAAACCAGAATTGATCATTTCACTGAGATGCTAGTTAATAATCTCACAAAATGCTGAGCCCTGTAAGCGCTCCTCTTAGAACTCTGTTCATCTTATACAGACAGAAGGGTCCTAGGCAGGCTTGGGCGAGGTGCTTTCACTCTCTGAGATTGAGCACTTGCTGCAGACGTGCGACAAGAAGTTTGGGTTCAGAAAGGAGCCAGGACAGGTGGAAAGGCAGGAAGCCTGTCTGTCGGAATAGAACATTCCGTATGAACCTTAGTCTCAAAACTCTGTTCCTTGTAGATTACTTTTTTCTTTTAATTGAATGTTTTTTGTTTTTTCTGATGATGTGTGTCAGAAGAGCTCCTAGTAGTGTCCATGATACCAGTTATGGAATTACTGTGAGCTTCAAAGATTAGGGATCCAGGTCAAGCATCCTCACAGTTTGTCTAAGTGCTGAATGAATGGAGAACTTAAAAAAGGTCTCTATAAAGAGGAAAAGGACTTGACTGGTTTTTGCTTTGCCAGTACTTCAGAGCTGTTAGTGTTACGTTTTCTTATCATGTAGTTTTCAGTTCTGGTTGCAAAAGTTTTCTTTGCAAAGGGGACATTTCCAGTTACTGTTCTTTCTTTTCCTGAAAAGAAGTATTTTAAGAGCACTAAAGTGATCTTAGCAACTGGACAAGCCAGACTGGGAGACAAATTTCGGCCAAAGTTAAATGAAGACGGGTAAATTGGCTTTATAGCAAATGCCAGTAGACTTTGTATATCAACAAAACCAAGGCAGGACTGCAGGCTTTCCCTAGCTGTGTGTATCCTAAGGGATTACCTTGAAAAACTTCCCAGTCCATTCAGAGAATGTTTGGAAGCTACCTTCCTGCTGGTCGGTTTATGGTCTTCAGCTATTTTGGTGGTGCCGCTATAAATGCGAAGACATAGCATTGACTACTTTTGTCTTCCCTCACCCAGGTAGCTAGCCCTTTAGGGAGTTGTGTGTACCGTGTGCCGATTCCTTTTCACCCCATCCTCACACGATAAGAAAAGCGACCACTGAGACTTCAGAGATTGATTCTGTTTAATGCTTTCCCAAGTCTGAACGAGCCCCTTTCAGTATGCCAAGGAGCCGTATGATTTTCTTCTCAGGGCATCTAGAATGAGCACTATGTATGAGTAAATCTTTTCTAAGAAGGAGAATAACTGAGGTATTGATTTAGAAGGTCACCACAGGGCCACCGTATGATCAACCATATGTTTCCGGTGAGCCACCTGTTGTACATTTAGCGAATCAACTCAGAATGCCTGGCACGTGACATGGCTCATACTGTCCTGGCATTTCTCTAATTGCTTTGTTTGTAAGGAAAATGGAATAATAAGTGCTTGGTATAATTCAGAGCTAAAAGACACTTCTTCCAATATCAACATTCTCTATTTTAAGATCCAATCTCATACTGTATAATCCTGGGAGAGCCAAGGCACTCTCTGTAGAGACATAAATCATGACCAAGAATAATTCTTCCAGTTCAAATGAAGGTCTATTAAAATGTCCCTAACATACACCTCGATATGATTCAGAAATACTAGTAAGGAGCGTGTTTTACTATGGAAATTAAACTTAATTCACAGTGCCACTTAAAAATATTAATTATCCCTATTCATATCAGTCAGTAGTCAGCAGGAGCTCAAGTACCTGATAAGGTATTGAACATAGAAAGTACCTGATAAGTTACTAAACACAAAACATAGAAGGAATATGTGTTTCCTAATACGAATGCTCCTTATTGCACAGTGGAAGATATTTTGACAAGACTTCCTGAATGTCTAAGAACTCATTTTAAGCTCTAATAATACCAAAGCATCTTGGTAGTCTAGGAAAGCCCCTGGCATTATGAGCGAGAGATGCAGTAGAGCTGCGTGGACTATCCTTGCAAATGTGTTAAGCTCAGCTTTGTGCATTCAGAGTAGAATTTTGTCCTTGACCCAAATAGTCTTAACACTTAACATGTAATGTTCCAATTCCACTCAGCTTGTTGAATTTTTAAAAGATCTAAGGCATAAATTAAAGAAATTAATTTCATATAAAACTAAATATGGGTTATTTTCATGATCAGTTATTTCACTGTACCTGGACTTCTGATCAGTAACTTCTGAGTCCTAAACTTGAGTTTGACCTGCATTTATTTACCAGGTTCCTTCTGGGAGCAAGTGCCTCTTCAACAGAAGCAAAGATAGTCTCATTTTAGCAGCTTTTAAAATGGCTAAAAACTTGATGCAGCCTAAATGGCCTATAGTAAGTCATGAGACATCCAATCAGTGAGTTATTAATATTATCAGTGAACATATCAGTAGCCCTTAAACAGAGTAATTAGGATGATCATGTAAGAATTGGAAAAAGGATTTTGGTCAGTGGAAAACAGCAAAGAGGTTAGATGCTATGATTACAACTATGCATGTGGGCAAAAAGTGAGACATGAAAATAGTTGCACTCAGATAGGAAGATGACGTGGTACTTTTTTTGCCGTATTTTTAAAGGACGTCCCTTGATGTTTTTATGCTGAATTTTTAAATGATGATGATGATGATAAGTTCAACACTAGCAGACTTCTTAAATAATCAACAAACTGGGGATTTTTTCCTGTAGTTATTCCTCATAAAATTGGCCGAGTCATAGAAGGAAGTCCAGCTGACCGCTGTGGAAGACTGAAAGTTGGGGATCATATCTCTGCAGTGAACGGGCAGTCCATTATTGAACTGTCTCATGATAACATCGTCCAGCTGATCAAAGATGCTGGAGTTGCTGTCACACTGACGGTCATTGCTGAAGATGGTAAGGAACCTGCAGCCCTGTCTCCCTGGGCTGATGTGAGAGGTACAGAGCCTGGGGGAGGCAGCAGCTTCCTCTAGCCCTGCAGGAGCTGCTGCGGTGATCGAACTGTTCCGATACCCTGGAGTCCCATTCTCTGCCTTTTCCATTTAATGAGCTTAAAAGACAGTTTATTATCTAATGTTGTCAGCAGCTCAAGAAAAATAATCCAGCTAATAAGTGGTGGTCATTTATTTATGTGCTGGAAAAGCAAGCACCCAGACATGAAAGAGATTGGTAATACTTTTCAGATCTTATTTCCTTAAAATAATGTCTTAAGTTTCTGCCTGAGTGAGAGAAAATCCTTTACAAAGTTCAAAGGCAGTCGCTGTTGGTGTCAAGCCTTTTATGTCAGGCCCATGCCACAGTGCGCCTTTCCTTGGGGCGGGCATTGTTCTGGGCAACCGTTGTACAGACAGGAAAGGGCGCCTAAGTAGGGCGTGAGGCATGCTGGCGGCCCTGGAGTCTTCCAGACTGGTTAACGTCTTGCCTGCTTTAAAGCTGCCTTTTGATTGTCAAGAATTTCTAATTAGGAATCATTTTGAACCAGTCCTTGTTCTTTGTTTAAGAATTACAATGTAACCACTATGTACCACTTATCTCATTTTTCCTGATCTTAGAAAACTAACGAGGAAAGACCAGACACTGAGTTATGAAGGCCCAATCTTCCGTGTTGAAGTTACACCCACTATAATGTGTATCCATGTCCCGTTTTCCCCCATGACCCTCTAATCTAGTTGGTTTCCAGATCTTTTATGCTTCCTGTTTTTATTCTTCTTTTCTGTTCCTATTGCACCACTCATATGTTTATTTCTGAGTTATTGCTTAAATCATCTTCTGTTCAAGATACTGTAGGGGTATTTCTGTATGGACATGAGTTCACCTGGCGGCTCCCTGAGGCCCTCCCGGTTCTGAAGGCCACTGAGATGCTGTGACATCCGCCTCTGTTCTCTCCCTTCTCCTTTCTCTTCCCAGACGCTTCTGAGACTCTGCTGCTCCTTTCCAGAATCCTCTCCGGAGGAGATCCAGCGCTTCCCCATTCTGCACAGCAAGTGTGGCCCTTGATTTGCTGTCTGCCTGCCTTTTAAATCGCCTCCCAGTGTCCTCGCCAGACCTTCTCTTATCTGGGCCTCATGGGCCTCTGTGCACATGGCTTCCTCCCCTAACTCGCATAGCGGCTGCTGTCTGCCGTTCACTGGACATCATTCTTAATGTAACTCTCTCCCTGTTTAAGCGGTCTGCTCCTTGAAGACAAAATATAGGTTGACTGTGAGATTTTCTGGGTGCTCAGTAAGTATTTGTTGAATGAGTAAGTGAATAAGCAAATGAATAAGTCAATGAACAAAGTAAAAGCAGGAGATTTTAGTTCTGAGGAGTTCTGTGCCATTAACCTCAGCAGAGGCAATATAAAACCAGAAAAAGAAGTACAGCTTTTGGCATAGTCCACTGACACCTGTTAGCTAGCTATGTGACAGACCAAACTGCTTAACATTTCTGATTTTCAGTTGTTTTATCTGTAAAACAGAAGTAGTAATATCTATTGCAGCTTCTTGTAAGAGTTAAAGGTGAAAATGTACATAGACGTCATAAATACCCTAAGGTGTTTTCACCTAATGATAGTGATCATTATTTTGCCTATTGGCTGCCTCCCTCATTTAGGTCTCTGTGTAAATCTCACCTTCCAAGGAGCTAATAATATTACAGGCATGGCATGGTAGCTCGCACCTATAATCCCAGTACTTTGGGAGGCTAAGGCAGGAGGATTGCTTAAGACCCTGGAATTCGACACCAGCCTGGGCAGCATAGCAAGACTCCCATCTCTACAAAAATAAAAATAAAAAAAATAAAACCTTCAAAAATATTTAGTGGCCGGGCTTGGCGGCTCAGCCTGTAATCCCAGCACTTTGGGAGGCCAAGGTGAGAGGATTGCCTGAGCCCATGGGTTTGAGACCAGCCCAGGCAACTTGGCAAGACCTCATCTGTACAATAAATCAAAAAATTAGCGAGGCGTGGTGGCACTCGCCTGCATTTCCGGCTACTTGGAAGGCTGAGGCTGAAGGATCACCTGAGCCCAGCAGGTCGACGCTGGGTTAGCCGTGAGCGTGCCACTGCACTTCAGCATGGGTGACAGAGTGAGACTCCACCTCAAAAAATTTTTTTTAAAAATATATATTTAGTAAGTGCTTGTGTTACAGGCACTGTCCTAAATGTTTTGCATATATAAACTCATATAATACAATAATCCTAGGTAGCTATTATTTTGCCATTCTTGTAGATGAGGACAACAGAATCACAGAGCAGTTAGGTAAATTGCCTGTGGTTATAATATTTTCTAAATACTTATTCTCAATATCTGCATGTATCTGACCAACAAACCACACTTTGAGTAGCCTTGAGGTGGATACTTTAGTAGAAGAAAAGAAACTGTTTATTGTTGATGGTGTTTTCTTTAAGAAATAATCCAAAGCTGCTCATCATTTCTCTTGGAAAAAAGTTCTTTTGACATTCTGGCCCTTTTCCCTTTTGAAAAGACTCTTGAGACTCCCTGTGTAATGTCAGCCAGTGTTCAGGAGAAATAGAATGGTAGAAGGAAACTCCCCAGCAGGTATATACTTAAAGTAGATTACTATGCAGGTATAGCCTCTTAACATGCAATCACATTTTATATGTAAAATCACATTTCAGTGATCACATATTGTTTTGTTATACTCTAGAATTTTTTAATCTATAAAAACATCAAAATCTCTTATTTTTCTTGGGGGAAAAATATAGAAAAATCTCATTCATGAAGTTTGTAAGCCTTCCAAGTTTCTCATAGACTTCCGTATAAAATCTTTCAACTGCACTAAAGAATCAAATGACTGTTTACAGATGTATGGCTATTTTCAGAAGTCACACATTCGGATTGATATGTCCAAGCAGCATGGCTTCCCATCCGAAGCCTTATCCCTTCTCCACAGGCCATTTCCTAGTGGGGGGGGGGGAAGACAGTTGCCCAGAAGAAAAACAGCTCTTGTTCTCTCCATCTCTTTTCCCCTCCTAGGTACTGTTGAATATTTGTGACTATTTTGCCAAGGAAGTGGCAAAGCAGATGTTCTGCCTCATAAAACACTCGAACCCTAGTGATGACTTGTGCTCGTTCCCTGTCACCCCATCCCCAGGACGCCACCACCCTTCCACCACCATGGAATCTTGTTTCCAGGTGTAGAACAGAAATGGACTGTGTCTGGTAGTCCCTGCTTACTGTCAGGAAACCTTTACGTGGTATTATTTTTCAAAATGGATTTCTAATTTTTTGTCAGGTCTTGTTCATTTTATTTTCGAGAATGAACCTGAGTTACAAAGCTACCAAGACTCCTACTGGAACAATTCTGGTAGTGTTGCCAGAATTTTGTTTTGCTTTGTTTCCTGTTTATTTGTCTGTTTATTCCTATTTGGCTCCACTTCCCACTCTCATTTTTCTCACTGTCCCCACTAGCAACCATTCTAGTATGTCTTATGTACTGCATTTTATTTACGTGTTTTTAAAATACATTTTTCGTGGTGTGTTGGCATTTATTTTTGAGCTATATAAGTGTAGTAGATTGTATGCTGGTTTTTTTCCTCAGTACTTGTTTTACCATTCCAGGATCCATTCCAGCATTCTTCATGGAATTTTGTTGTCATGTCTTCTTTTCTCTTGTTAATTGAGATATAATTCACATACTGTAAAATTCATTATTCTAAAGTATACAATGCAGTGATTTTTTAGCATATTCCCATGGTTTTGCAGCCATCACCACTCATTCCACAAAATTTTATCATCCCAAAAATAAACTTTATGCCTGTTAGCAGTCACTTTCCATCCTCTCCAAATCTCCATCCTTAGGCAACCACTAATCTGCTTTCTGCCTCTATGGATTTGCTACGCATTTCATGTAAATAGAATCATACAGCATACGACCTTTTGTGTATGGTTTCTTTTACTTAGCAAATGTTTCCAAGGTTCATCCTTGTAATATGTGTTGATATTTCATTCCTTTTTATGACTAAGGTATAAATTATTTTATGCATATGTACATTTTGCTTACTTATTAATCATTTGATACAGATTTGGGTGGTTTCTACTTTTTCATTACTGTGAATAGGGCTACATTGGTATACAGGTTTTTGTGCTGATGTATGATTTCATTTTTCTTGGTTTTATACTTAGGAGTGGAATTGTTGGATCATGGTAACTATGTTTAATTTTTGAAGAACTGCCGAATGGTTTTCCACAGCAGCTGCATCATTTTGTATTCCCACCAGCAAGATATGAGGCTTCCATTTTCTCCATATCCTTGCCAACACTGATTTTCTTTTCTTTTTTTTTTTTCAAGTTTGTTTCCTAGCCATTCTAGTGTGTGTGAAGTGCTACCTCCATAGGTTTTGATTTGCTTTTCCCTGATGACTAGTGATGTTGAACATCTTTTCATGTGCTTAGTTACTACTTGTAAATCTTCGCTGGAGAATGTCTGCTTAAATTCTTTGCCCATTTATAACTCAGTTATTTATCTTTTCTTATTGTTGAATTGTAAAACTTCTGTATGTATTCTGACTACCTGACCTTTTTCAGCTAGATGGTTTACTCTCCTTTGGTACACAAGAGTTTTAATGTTGTCGAAGTCCAGTTCATCCAGTTTTTCTTTGATTGCTTGTGCTTTGGTATTATGGCATCATGTGCTTTTAAGATTTAATGTGCATTGCTGGGTGACCATAACTGATCACTTCTAAGTGCTTGACAGTATTCCATGATGTGTATTTATCACATATAACCTATCCACTTCCTTATATGATCAGAAACATTGCCTCCAACACCACAATATCACAAACAGCCCTGTGATACACATCCTCATGTATGTACATTATAAAACAGAGTGAAGCCGGGCTCGGTGGCTCAGCCTGTAATCCCGCACCTTTGGGAGGCTGAGGTGAGTGGATTACCT